CTGTCTGTCTGTCTATATCTTTCTATCGTTCTATATATCTGTCTGTCTGTCTGTCTATATCTATCTATCTATCTATCTATCTATCTATCTATCTATCTATCTATCTGTCTGTCTGTCTGTCTGTCTGTCTATCTAGCAGTCTGTCTTTACTGTACTATTTTGACCTGACCTAACCTGACGTCTAAAAATGACTTTTTATGACTAATTGTGATGACGCCATGTTTATATATATATATATATAGTGTCTGTTTGGTGAGTTTGACGGGTCACACGCAGCGCGTTCATTGTTATTTCTGATATGACTCAAGATACGCAGACAAACAGTTTATCTGTGAGCTCTTCTCTCAGACCTGATCCCTGAAAGGACTGTGAACACGTAGCTACTGCACTATCAGACAAGAAACTCTAAATCAATTGCCTAACTAACTCATCAAAATGTAAGCAACTCGAGGAGTCAGCCAAACTCGTTCATTTTCCCATCAGTCTCCAGCGCGCAGTCGATCTCCAGTCAGAAGCCCGGCGAGAGGAAAGTAGATTTTACTGGTTTAAAAAAGGTGAAAACACTACGGGACAATGCTGAGATCTCTCTTGCTTCTTGTTTCTCCTCTGCTGATGTCGTTCTACGGCGGTGTGTGTTTCGTGTGTCCGGAGATCTGCCGCTGTTCTCAGAAGAGCATCACCTGTAACAGCGCGACGGAAAGCCTGAAGAGCAGAACTCACAGCAGACTGTAAGCACACTACATCTCATCACCTTATATCTCACACAGAACGAAACATTAAAGACATATTGTACTGCATTCATTTATTAGGACATGTGCTTTTGGTTCCACTTTACATTTCAGTGTCACTGTAAAATAAAAAATATATATATAAAAAAAGATTTTCAGTGTTGAAAGATTAGGCTATTGGAGTAGCCTACGTTTTAAAAGAACATAGCCTACTTCTACTTCAAAATTTCACGTTTAAGTTAAAGTGTTACTTATCCTTTCTTTGCAAATGATTGTGAAGCTTACTAGCAATTTCTGAGTGAAAATTGTTTCTACACCATTTTTTCCCAGCGATCTAGTGTACATAGGAGACTGGGGCAAGTTGTCACACGGGGTATATAACATACATGCATTTTCCATATAAGTCAGGTTTGGGGTAGGTTGTCACATTCGTATCGGGGCAAGTTGTCACATACGCTTAATATGCTGTAATCTTCTACAACTCATCAGTAAAAACAAAGGCTTAATATTTATGTACTGTATGTACATTTAACACTTTTGAGGTTTCATGTTTAAGTGTTTCATAATTGCTTTCTGTTTCCTTGCCAATATTTAGTTAATGCATTAATAATTATAATGCATTAAAATAATTCTTAATGCATTTTAAATATAGACATGAAATGGATGACTTTATTTCTACAATTTCATATTTCAAATGAATTCTCAAATCAGAATCAATAAACATCTTACCCCATGTAATGTGACAACATGCCCCGCTGTGGTCAAAATTAGTTGTATTTGGACAGTGATGGTGGAAACGTTGGATGGGTTTTTATAGTCATTACTTGAAGGTTTGTGTCTGCATCAGAAATTGACTTTTAAACATGAAACCCATCTTGAGACACATTCATGTAGTAAAACGTAAGAAGAAAATGTAATTTACTCATATCAAGATCACATAATTCCTATAAGTATCATTATGCTCATTACTGGATAAGAAACTATTTATATTTTAATTTAATGCATTATATATACTGTATGAAGTATTAATAATAAACAACAATAATTATATTTTATTATTTTAATTATTTAAATAAATAAAAAAAATTGTGTGTATATGTGTTGTTTATAGCAGCTTCAAATGCAACTGCACATCAGGTACAGTATACATGATGTTCATTAGCAATAATTAATTAGTTAATTAATATTATTATTTAGAAATGTTTGCTGATTACTAAAACTGACTGTGTGAATTAATGCTGAATAGTCTGTCAGCAGTGATTCACTGTGATAATGCACCTCCTGAATATCATGTGCCTGAACACATAAAACACATCTGACACACCCAAGTCAAGTCAGCTTAATTATTTCATAATAATGCTTGTATTACAGTACAGAATGTTAATTTGGAAAAAGAGGGCAGCTAAAAGGTGGTACAGTATGTCATTTTGTTTTAATGTGTGATTTGGAAGGCCATTCCCTTTTCTCAGGGATTGTATGTCTGTGCTCAGTTTATTCTCTTCTCAGTGCATTTTTAAAGGCTCATGCAAATCTAACAACAAACACATAACAACAACAACCCAAAAGAGACATTGGATGTGCTTATCTGTGGCTCCATTTCATAAATAACAAATAACCCAAATGCATTTGTAGTCTAAACACATGTGTCCCATTCAGTTATCTGAATATTAAATAAACAGTTATCTATATTTACTCATTTAATATCTGCAAAATGTACAATTTTGTAAATACAGTCCAAACAAAATACATTTTACTGAAAATAACTTGCCATTGTTTTGGCTGACGAATTGTGCGAAAAAAATATTGCAAGAAAAAAAATTTCAATGTAACTTTGCTTTCCATTTATTACTTAAAATACTTTTTTGATACCACAGCAAAAACTACTAGTCTAACTAAGAAAGTTCAAACATAATTAAAGACAAGTGAAGAGCCAGTGAAAAATAAGAACAAATACATAAATTACAAGCATAGATAAATGCAACAGAACAAAGTTACAAATAAAATAAAGTCGGTAGTATTCAGGTACAGAAATGTAATAATTAAGTGTAAAATAGCACTGTATACATAGTGTTCACTGTATAAATGAAATATATATGAATCTTTGTCAAAGCTGTGATTAGTTTTTTGTTGTTTGATTATAATAATAATAATAAAATATAATTCTAATTACATTTTAATATCATAAGTAATAATCATCATAAGTATCATAAGTAATAATATTTTCAATTATAATATATTCAATAATAGTATTTTCATAATTTTTCCAGTCATTTGTATATATATATGATAAGTAATAATAATTTAATTATTTTAATGTTTTATTTAAATATTTTATGGTATTTTAAATATTTATATTTATATATTTTAAAAATTTATATTTTGCGTCCTTTAGCGGACACTGCCCCAGCAGAACCAGTGTCTGAAGCACATGTGAAACAACTCCAATCCCATTGGCCCACGTAACCCGTGACGTCACAGGTGAGTGCCCGGAAGCATAAGAACACGTCACCAACTTGGTTGTCTGAAGGAGACGTGAAAACAGGCAAGCCTTAGGCATGGTGAGGGGATGCAGCGTCTCGTTCCCTTTTGGGGAACCATGGTTACATGCATAACCTTAGACGTTCCCCTTCTAGGGACTCGAGCTGCGTCCTCTAGTGAACACTTTGGGGAACTGAATGCCCACTCAGCCATGCCACGGCGCATGCCTGTTCACCTGGTGAAAGAGCATCAAGGGAAGCGACAGACATACACCAAACTTTCACTCATAAAGGGGGCAAGCCACTGACACCTGGGGCCACTACATAACTCGGGAAAAATGGGGAACCCAGCCAATCAGGAGGGACATCCCATTAACCAAGCTAATGACCCAAAGCAGCATGCAGGGCCCAGGGGGAGGGTCCACTTAAAAACCCCATAGAAGGGGGGGTAGCCCACCCCTACTACCTGACTAAGCTAAAGCGATAAGATAAAGGAAGTAGACCGTCTATTAAAAACCCCAAGGGGAGACGGCTAGAAGAGTCTCAGGGGGCTGCCTACTTGAAAATCCCTAATAAGGGGGGCAGCCCGAAAACAGACTACTTGAAAAAAGCCTACATTACAAGGGAGAGACCGGACTTTCAGTCAATGGTTCGCCAACAAGCAAAACAGATAAGAACAACATTAGTCCAGCCTCAAGCCCGATGTAAGCAGCATCTCTTAGTGCTCGCCTGCCTCAGCACCTAACTCTTAAAGAGAGGAGGGGCATGAGTTGCCGCGCTCGTCTTTTGATCTTGCCTATGATCCTCAGATTGAGACAGACCAGACCCCTCAGAGGTTTAGAGGAAGACTTGGGACGGCAGGGAATGAACTTCCTGAAAGGCAGTGGACTGCGCCTTTGCCTCCCTGAACTTTTTGACCACCGCCTCAGCGGAGGTGCCGAAAAACCTGGAAGGCGACAGCGGAGCATCAAGAAGAAAAGTTTACACCTCTCTGCCGATATCCATGGGATTTAACCACAAATGCCCCTCCGAAGTCACCATTGTTTAGTGGCACGAAGAGCCAAGTCTGCGGTGCGGCGCAGTTCCTCACTGCCTCAGGGGACAAACCCTTGCCCTCATCTAGATCTCCGAGTAAGTCAGCTTGGTAAGCTTGTAACACAGCCATTGTGTGCAAGGCTCCACCGGCTTGACCTGCCGTCACATACGCCCTGTCATCCAGGCGCAGTCTGTCCCACGATCTCACTAACCCATTGTGGAGGTTGGGAAGAAAGGGGAGACTCCTGGGGGAGGGGAGGTTATGACCAGCCAGAAAGCACTCTTCTAATCCGCCACTTGCGGGCATCTGCCTTTCATGTGAACAGACTAAGTCAAGCCTTTTAGTGGCGCGCGCCATACTCCCAGCATTTCCCCATATGCGGGGCTGGAGTTAGGTTGGGAGGATTCAGTGCTCACACTATCATCGCCAACCACATCCACACCCTGACTCTCACTAGATAAGCCCAATATAACACTATCCATGAGATCCGATAACCCAAGAGAAAGAGCGTCTGGATCCCACCAAGCACTCGAGCTTGCAGCGAAAGTTTTCAAAAGGTTCTTTTCTGCAAGCTCAACCTGCGAACCCTGTGATCTGAGTCTTCACTGTGTCTCGGCAGCAGTGGGACCCGAACCGCGAGACGCAGACGCTTGTCCCTCATCCCACGAGAAGAGGGACAAAAGCGAACAGAGCTTTCTCATTGGAAGTTCTCACAACGAGTGCATTCAGAGCCCTCGAGCACCGAACGTGCAAGCTCTCCACCAAGACACATAACTCATAGATCGAGTGTGTCCTCGCATGTCTGAAACCTCAGACACGGAAGCACACACTTTCTAAAATGCTCACTTGCCTTGGTTTCTCCATAACGCCTTCACACACACTGTCAAACAAACAGCTCCTGAAGACAACAAAAGTTGGTGATGTGTTCGGCAGGTGCCCTCTTATACTTCTGGGTGCCCGCCTGTGATGTCACGGGCTACGTGGGCCAATGGGATTGGAGTTGTTTCACACCAGCTTCAGACACCGGTCCTGCTGGCGGCACTTCCCAAAGTGTCCGCTAGAGGACACAGCGCGAGTTCCCTAGAAGGGGAACAGTATTTTCAGGCTATATTTTCCAGCTAATGCATGGTCTAAAGTATAAAAAAAGGCCTCTATCAAAACGCAGATTGACTCTTTTAACTGAAAACTGAAACTTAACTTTTCTATCTCCCGCCAGCTTGTTAGCATGATCACAATAACCTGTTAGTTTACTTTTGCTCTGAATACATTAACAGGCCTGTTAGTAGCTGTTAGTCCTGCTAAGAAGCAGCGGTGATGCAATATACGCTTCTCATTAAAGTCCTGCTTACGCATGACACCTCTACCTTTTTGGGAAAAAAGCAACGGGGGAGTTGTTGACATGTGGCAAGCTTGTGAAAAGTATTATCCAAAATAGACAGGTCAAGTATAGTTTTGTCTGACTGACGGGTCTCTCGATTCTGCTTGCCATTGCGCCTGCTGAGCTGATTGTGTTAAGAGAGTCTGTGTTTTATGTCCTTGAGGCCTTGAAATAATTTTCTTCCTCTAGTGAAACCTTGAGCCCCGATAAGAGTTATGTGCAATCAAGGGCATGAGATAGATAAATAATGTCCTTGAAAATAAGGAAAGGCTTTCAGAACTGTAATCACCCAACACTTTTATTTTTTGTGTGTTTTTTTTGTTTGTTGATGTTTTGGAAATTGTTAAAAGGTTTTTAATTCCAATGCGGTTGAAACAAATATGTGGCAAGTATCATTAACACAGTTTTGGATGGAGCACCTGTCCAAGGGTAATTATTTGTACAGTGGCTACAAAAAATATTTGAACACATAAGACACACTCAAACATTACGTTTACACATGTTAATTAATTAATTAATAAATAGTAGTATAATAATATACAGTATACATAATAATATATATTTTGTTTTTTATAATATTAATAATATTAATATTGCAATAATTTGATTAATTGTACAGCTTTTTTTTTTTAATTTATCAATCCAAATTTAGCAAAAATCCAAAAATATTCAGCATTGTGCAGTAATTTCTGTCCATGTTTTCCACAGATTTTCACATTTTTGATAAATAATAATAATTATAATAATAATAATTTGTTTTATTGTAATACTATTTTTTTTATTAATAATAATAATAATATAAAAATGATAATTTAATAATAATAATAATAATAATAATATAAAATATTTCGATTTGATGTTTAAATATTATTCTTATTATTTTTTTTATTTAATTTTGTCAAGTTAAACTTTTATTTTTGCACGCTGTAGTGAATGCATTTGATTCTGAATAGTAGAATAGTTTTGAATTGAATTAGTTGTATTCGTAAAATTCTGCATTGTGCAGTCAATTCCATGCACAATTCCGTCTGCGTATTCCACATCAATTAAATCATATGACCCTACAGTAGGCTATGTTTACAGTTAAACTTTTATTTTTGCACGCTGTAGTGAATGCATTTGATTCTGAATAGTAGAATAGTTTTGAATTGAATTAGTTGTATTCGTAAAATTCTGCATTGTGCAGTCAATTCCATGCACAATTCCGTCTGCGTATTCCACATCAATTAAATCATATGACCCTACAGTAGGCTATGTTTACAGGGCAAATTATTCATTGCTGCTTAATACTTCAGGTAAGGGGTTTGTTCTGATCTTTCCTTAGAAAATACCACCATATATTTAGCATGCTTTGCGAGAAAAAAATAAATAAATAAATAAATGATAATAATAATAATTAATAAAAAAATCATACTTTTTTTTTGCACTTTGACATGTTTCGGGGCTTCTGTATGCATGTCCAGACGCATTTCTAGTAGCTTACACAACCTTCCTTTAAAGATCCAGCCCTTAGATGAGCTCAGCACAGCAGAGGGTAGGAAATATGACAGTCTCCACTCCAACCGAGAGGCTTCACGAGCGCTAACAAGCTCCACACTCACATCATTAGACCTGTACTGTAAAAGATGAATCAAGCAGCGCTTCACAATTACAAACTCTGAGAGCACGGTGACCCTCTCTCAAAAACAAATCTAAGTGATAATTATCCGAGTGCAAAGGCTCCAAACTCTTAATCGAAACATGGCCCAGAAATGCGAGACATAATGTGATGTAATTACTTGCAATTTGCATTGTTATTTTTAGCAGTGCATTGGAAAATTTGATTGTTGTTTGAAATTAAAGGTGTAATGAATGTTATTTGTTAAATATTTACTGTACCTCTGGAATTATTGCTGTAATATCTGAATTTGTTTCTTTGTGGGATTTGGAGAAATTTAGCATTATATCACTTGCTCAGCAATGGTTCCTCTGCAGTGAATGGGTGCCGCCAGAATGAGAGTCTGATAAAAACATCACAATAATCCTCAAGTAATCCACACCACTCCAGTCCATCAGTTAATGTCTTGTGAAGTGAAAAGCTGCATGTTTGTAAGAAACAAATCCATCATTACGATGATTTTAGCTTTAAACTATTGCTTCTGGCCAAAATACCAGTCCATAATCCATAATAACGCTTCCTCCAGTGAAAAAGTTCATCCCCTGTTGTCCTCTCACATCCACAAGTCCACCAACACATTTGTTTACAACTGTTCTGGACTATTTTGGCTTGTAAACAGTGCTTGATCTGTGCAGACTTCTCTCCTGATTCAGACAAGACCACTTTTTCACTGGAGAAAGTAATATTATGGATAGAGGATTCATATTTTAGCTGGAAACAATGGTTTGGACTTAAAAAGTGTCACGAATCCGGTCTATAAACTTCCGTTCACTCACCACGCGCACTTGATGAAGACACGGAAGTTTCACCAAAGTATAAATGGATTTGCACCACTAAAAATCGCTTGCAAAAATGGCTCTGCTACTAAATTTATTTTAAAATGTCTATCCTGTACAGCTATGTTCAGCTGTTCCTTCATCTTGGCTGAGCTTTCAATGTTGTTACGGGAAAGGATGAAGTTTATGAGAATTATTATTTATGGGAGTTTATGGGATATTAAATTCATAGGTTGATTTTAGTGACATACAGTAAATGGCAATGACATAAATTAAATATGTTTAACAATATCACATTTGTTTAATGCATGCATTTAGGTAATTCAGCATTACAGCAATTATGTTCAGTTCTATGATTTCTAAAGACTGGGCAGACATATTCTGATTATTCACGAACACACATTAAAAAAATCTCTCAAAGTTTCTCCATCATTTACATCATGTTAATGAGAGTCACGATATTTCAGAAACAAATTCCAGTTCGAACTGGTTTTATACTATAGCTGCTGTCAGTCAGTGCATTGATATTGTATATTTTAAAGTACATTCAAATGTACATTTACATTTACATTTAGTCATTTAGCAGACGCTTTTATCCAAAGCGACTTACAAATAAGGACAATAAAAGCAGTCAAAACTAACAAAAGAGCAACAATATATAAGTGCAAATGAGAAGTCTCGGTTAGCCTAACG